TCCATGAAGACTTCTTTGAAGCTTTTAAGGTTTTTAAACCACAACATTTCTAGATCAAGACTGCTCTAATTCATTCGTCAAACGCGAACAATGATCAACTCAATTACGCGTTTTTTACAGAGATCTAAACAAATTTTCTACTTTGATTTTATAGCACCTTCCAAATTCTCTTAGCATCTTCAGAAACACTATTTCGTTGACGGTTTATTTCATAACTGTTTTCGTTAATGCTGCTCTTCAAGACTCATAATATAGTTCAAAACAGAGCAAAATTTTTAGATTTCAAATTTACTGGGAATCAGCAATAAAGATTGAAATAATAAAAAGTGAAAAACAAAAACAGATTTCTGTTGTTCTCAAAACTGTGATTAAAACTTTATCTAAACGGTAGGATAAGTAGCCTAATTTTATTTCTGAAAGAGAGATTTGATCGGAGGCAAATGTCGAAAAGCTTGTTTAGTTGCAAGGTAGTATTTTTAAATGAAGAAAAACCAAAATAAAAAATAAAAAATAAAAACACGGTACAGTGAAAGCAGTAAGTAGGTGAAATAGACAAATGGTAACATTTAGAAATGTAATCCCCATTTTATTTTTCCAGAAGAACGATTTTTTTTAGAAAAACCAGTCATAGAACTAATTCCTACTGAAGTGCAAAAGTTTCTGTGCGACCTCTCTGTGACGAACACCTCTATTTAGATGTTTCAGTTTTCGTTTATTAAACCTTATTAAAAAGGTGAATAAACTGTATTGATTTGAATACAATTTTTTGGTTTTGTACTTCCAATAAACTGTTGTCGCTTTTTCTTTTTGTAACTTTTACATCGCGTTATTTACTTATTCATAATTTTTCATAAACACTTTCTCTCGTTCTGACATCTTCTTATCGCCTCTCCAGATCTGCCTGAAATTTGCGACAGCACTAAATGGTAGAAATAAGAAAAAGTTTCTATAATAATGATAGTCTGAATATGTACAATGCAATGTTACAGCAAAAAATAACTGTTTCTTATGCTAAACAACATTGCCACAGTCGCTTCTCAAAGAACTGTAATGTCGAAATCTTAAGAACCTACCTGAAAAGCTTTAACTTTCTTTTGAAATAAGTAAAAATTGTTTGATCAGTGCAGATAAATCCTGAGGTTTTTTTTTAAGTAATAAAACATTCCAAACGTAGAGTATAAATTTTTTTTTTGAACTTCTGTACGGAAAAATCATCTTTACTTTGCTAGTGGCAGAAGCGTAAAGTACTTGGAGGCTGCTAGACTTTTAATCATTCAAGGGGAGAAAAGCATTGGATTATAACGATCTCTGTTTTAACTTTAGCTCTTCTACACTGTTTAACACTTTATGACAGGCAGCGTCTTTCTTCACAAACTCTTTATAATGACTCTGCTGTAAAAGATCTTCAATGTTCTCCATTCTTTTTTGCTTATCTGTGGGCAGTTTCTACAGCCTTCTATTAAATTTGTTGGGGATTCAAACCGGGCAGTTTTTTGGTTATTTCGTTAAAGCAAAGAATGGCTAGCAAAGTTGAAGAATACGTGGCTACAACAAAAAATAATAGAAAATTTAATAGACTGCAAAAGTTGGATAGAAGCTTTTAAATGTAAAACGTTTCGAAATACAGTACTGACCAAATTATTCTAACAGTTTGCGAAATAGGCAAAGCCAGTTTTTGCCATGACTGACACAGTGTAATTTAAAAACCCCAGGTTTTTACTTACTAAATTACTGACTAACTTCAAGTTATTACCATAGTACCTTTATTTGAACATTATTTTCTGCCATTTTCTATACAGTGCACTTGAATAAACGAATTTACTGTTTCACAACACCACTTTTTATCAATAATGTCCAAAAGTTTCAGAAAATATGGTTACTTTTGCACCTTTGTACAGTGAATAACGTCGGTAAAAAAAATTACAAAGTTTTTCAATGGGTGTTCGTGGCTTTATTAGAATAATAAAGTATAGTTCTGCTTACAAAAAAGTCTGGAAACTGCATTATTTCACTCGCTTAGCATTTAATTTTTTTGTTCTTACAAAAACCAGTTGTTTTCTATAAATAGGCAATAATGAGAAGCATCAATATTTTCACAAAACTTTTACATGTCATAATTTTTTGACATCTACAATTTGTCATTTTCAAAATTTACTTGATATTTCTGACTGCTTTTTTTCAATAGTTAAGCTATAAAAATATAAAATTTTTAAAAAGCTCAGATTTTATTAACCCTCATTAAGCAAACGTTGCGCAATATAGTACTTCACTTGATCATCTAATTGCTTTTGACCAGGTTGCAACTTAAATACACATAATATGTTAGAACAATTCAGTTGCAACTGAGATAAAAGCTACTAAAGAAATAGAACTTTACCTTATTTTTCATTTTGCTTACTTAGGCAGCTGCTTTCTCAGATACTACATAAAATCCAAAATCCATTCTTTGATTTACTTTACAGTAGAGAATTAATTATTTGTTATTGACAGAAAAAATTATAAAAAATGATTTCTTCCATTTTAAATTTATG